TCTCTCTCTCTGCCTATCTCCCGCACTCGTTTTTCTTTTATTTAACTGTATGTGTCTAAGAATAAACGCCGTTATAGAATGTAACCTATAAGTGCATGACGCTAGCTGCTTACAACTGCTCGCTCCGTCGAGTTTCGCCTCTGTATAATTATAATAACATTAAGAGTGAATAAATAATAGATCACTATCTAGATTATTATCTATTATTTATCTATTAAGTTTATATATATCTATTATATGAGATATTTATCTATTATCTTTTATTAGGGTAGAATCTATTATTATTCACTCCTGATAACATTACAGACAGCTCATGCAGTATTAATTACTGAGCACATGCGAGATCTCCACGCGCGCTCGAAGATCTGATCTCTCGACAGCATATTATATAGTCTATAGAACACGAACAGATTAAAGCAGGGCGATCTATCGTTCGACTATTTGATTTATTGATTGACCTTTGATTTATTTATTGATTGATTAGTATTTTATTTAGCTACTGATTTTTTAATTGCAGGAATTCGAGTCGTATATCGATGACTACCTGAAGCAGACTGATTCGGTCGAGAACGTTGCCCTTTGACCTCATCTAACATGACCTTTCCGCTGACCACGATTCTACGTGAAGCGTGCACCCGCTGTATTTTGCCCGTGTAATGTGTTTATATTTGAGTCATCTCGAGGCATAAAAACTGTGTGACGTCAGAAATGTGTGACGTATGTGCTGAGTGATGTATTGAAACAGATCGACGCTTCGCTGAATCTCTCGTCAACTTTTTATTTGCGCATTAATTTTATTTAAATGGAAATCCGAGAAAATGAGTTTGCCGAACGCCGTGGTGCGACAGTGCACCCGCGGGTTATGCAGCGCCGTCTCCAAACCAGGATAGAGTCGTCAGCGTGTACGAGCGGCAGCGATTGATCACCGAATTATTGTTTGAAATATTGTTTAATATGCTGATAATAGAGCATTCGTTTTTAAGTTATCTTTATTTTTTATGTAAATTGCACCGCGTGAACAATGACGAGTGTATACGATTGTTTTTTGCGCGCGAGGGTGTAGGTGGATTTTAACGTGTTCTACGCGTGGATTACGCAACGAAAGAATCTTAGTTATATTATGTTATTATGTATACTGTGAGGATGTGTCGTTTTAAATTAAATAAACTAATTTACCGGTGGTCGAAACTGACTAACAACTGTGATTCTGCGTCGTTTTTAATCGATAGTTGTATATGATCTAAACTTGATAGAATCTCAAAAATTCGATCAAAACCTCACATCACTCAACATATTATAAACAAATATATTGATGCAGCGCACGCACGCACGCACGCACGTACGCACGCACGCAACTCCTCTTCATGCATAATCTTTGCAAAATATACGATTTCTCTCGGGAGATATTGCGCATGCGCGCGCACCGTGTTAGGCGTGCAGTGCCGTCTGAGGCAAACTTCATAATATAGCTTGCTGAGGGGGAGAAGGGATTGGAGACTGAGGAAATGCGGCAGGGAAGATAGCTGGGGGCGGTTGAGGAAGAAGGAGAGTGAGCGAGGGACGGTCACCGGGGAGGCAAGGTGAAGGACGCGAGGGCATAAAGTAGGTGTTTTGTAGCCTACATGCTAGTGCGCTCTCCTAATTATAAACAGCGGCCTACTGATAAAGGTTTTTTTTAAGGAAATCTATGCCGAGATACCCCCTAACCATTTTAAATGCATATCCATCACAAAATATAAACTCCTTTGGTGAGAATATTGAGCAATGCGCTAACACATTAACGTAGCAAAATGTGTACTGGCTGGTAAAAATTAAGTAGCGCAGCGTCGGGTAGCTTACATGCAACGGTCTTCCTGCCGATTTCTTAAATTGATGTCAACTGACTGGAATGTCATCATTATATAATCTATGCAGGATAACTCCTCTTCATTTGAAATGCATAATCTTTGCAAAACACGATTTCTTCTCTCGGAGATATTTCGCATGCCCGCGCGGCCGTGTTAGGGCGTGCAGTTTCTTCTGAGGCAAACTTCATAATATATATAGCTTGCTGAGGGGGAGAGGGGATTGGGAGCCTGAGGAAATGCGGTTAGGGAAGATATTTGGGGGCGGTAAAAGAAGAAGGAGCTAGCGAGGGGACAGGGGGCGCAAGGGAAGGACGCGAGGCATAAAGTAGGTGTTTTGTACCCTAGATGCTTGGGCGCTCTCCTAATTATAAAACAGCGTCTACTGATAAAGGTTTATTAAGGAAATCTATGCTGAGTACCCCCAAACCATTTTAAATGCATATTCTCACACAAACATAACTCCTCTGTGAGATATTGCGCATGCGCTAAACACATTAACGTAGCCAGATTGTGTACTGGCTGGTATACGCAGCGGTGACCTTACATGCAAGGTCTTCCTCCGATTTCTTAAATGATGTCAACTGATAGAATGTCATCATATAAATGTATGCTACGATAACTCCTCTTTATTTTAAATGCATAATCTTTTCAAAATATGATTGCTCTCGGGAGATATTGCGCATTCGCGCGCACCGTTTTAGACGTGCAGTCCCGTCTGAGGAAAACTTCATAATATAGCTTGCTGCGGGGGAGAGGAGATGGGAGACAGAGGAAAGGCCGCAGAAAAAATAGCTGGGCGGTAAATAAATAAGGAGGCTGAGCGAGGGACAGGGGAAGCAAATGGAAGGACGCGAGGGCAAAATGTAGGTGTTTTGTATCCTACATGCTAGGGCGCTCTCCAAATTATAAACACAGGTCTACTGATAAAGGTTTATTAAGGAAATCTATGCTGAGGTACCCCCAAACCATTTTAAATGCATATTCATCACAAAACATAACTCCTCTTGTGAGATATTGCGCATGCGCTAACACACTAACGTAGCCAGATTGTGTACTGGCTGGTATACGCAGCCGGGACCTTACATGCAAGGTCTTCCTCCTATTTCGTATTGTTATCTACAGATGGAATAATGTCATAATAAATCTATGCTAGGATACTCCTCTTTATTTTAAATGCATAATCTTTGCAAAATACGATTTCTCTCGGGAGATATTGCGCATCGCGCGCGCACCTCGTTAGGCGTGCAGTGCCGTCTGAGGCAAACTTCAAATATAGCTTGCTGCGGAGGAGAGGGGATCGGAGACTGAGGAAAGGCGCAGGAAAGATAGCTGGGGCGGTAGAAGAAGGAAGCTGAGCGAGGGACATGGAGGCAAGGAGAATTTTTTTTAATTGGTGCATTTTGAGAGGCATCTGAGCAGTAATTTTGATGTCTAGAAGGCAAGATGGAATTCCACATTTTTAGCAGAAATTTTTTTTTAAATTTTGTTAGGGCACTTTGAAATTAAAGGGGGTCCGACGCCTCAGGGCCGCAAAATTTTTTTTCCACTTGAGTTCCGGACCCACCATAGATAGTGATTTTGTAATAAATGGTTCTTATATAAATGGTTGGATTATAATTTAATGTTAGGGTTCGTGTACGTGTACGTGTTAGTGTTAGGGTTAGGGTTAGGGTTTAGGGATAGGAGGTATTCATTTTACCATTGTTTGCTTCGAGGAAGTTCGAGTGAATGGAGTGCGCTGATTGGCTGTGGTCGCGGAACTCAAGGGGGAAAAAAAAATTTGCCCCCGGGCCCCACCCTAGATCCGCCCCTGGGCTGTATATATTAACTTTCTTTCCCTCCCGTCTCTCTTTCTCTGTCTTCCTGTGTCTCTTTCTCTCTCCCTACTTTCATCCCTGTCTTTTCCCTTCTCTCTTTCTCTGAACCTCCCTCTCTCTTTCTCTGAACCTCCCCCTTTCTCTGATTCAAACGCTGATAGCGATACACGTTATAATAACAAATGGGTAAATTGTAAACAATAATAATTATATATACTATTATTTATAGCATATCTTATAGATATACTATTTATTTATTTATACACGCACGCACGTACGCGCGCACGCACACGCACGCACGCACGTACGCACGCACGCACACGCACGCACGCACGCACGTACGCACGCACGCACACGCACGCACGCACACTCACGCACACACCCACACACTCAGAATATCACTATTTCATCACACATTAACATGCGCCCTCCAGTTGTTAGATAGAGCTCAGTGAATGGACCATAGATATATAAAAACACACTATATTTACATGTCTGACACTTCATTGAAGTTCCTAATTCATAATGAGATGATGTCGCGATATGACGTCATTCGGAGACACTCGCCACGTAAGGAACATGGTCTACCACACAATAATTTTTTTTCAATGATTAGAAAACGCGAACTACGTAACATGTGATCAGAAGTAGATAATAGGGAATTCCCTATTATCTACTTCTTATGTGATGCATGTTCGTGTGAAATATCTATGTTTGTTCTACGTTTTGTTCGAAAAGAAACGAACACTTAATTCATAATTTATTTCATGATGCGGCGTCTATGTGACCATAGATATATTTAGAATAGATGGATGAATATATTTGGGCACGGATTGACTAAAGAGAATAATAACATCATCGCCAAAAACAACTACTACTAATATTACTTCAATAAGTCTACGTGCACATGTACAGACACTGACTGCTTTACGTACACACATGTTACTGCTACTCTGTCCGCGACCAGGTCAAATTAAACCCGGTAAAACACTCTGGCTTCTACTTCCTGTGGCAGGTGGCCGGGTGGCCGGCCTATATAGCGCACGTCAGCAAACACTCTCACTCTCACTCTCTCGCTGTCGCAGAGTCGAACTGATGCACGTGGTCGTGCGGGCACCATCATGCGTGCATTGTTCACGAACAAGTCGCTGAAGTTTTTGAAAGTGTTCGTGTATCATGCATGAATTAAATGAAATTGGTTTTGTGCAAACAGTTGCTATCCGACGGTATGTAGTAAATCAAGAGACAGCCGGGCGGTGCGAAGAGACTGCGGAGGCTGTACGTACCGTACGTGCGATTGGTATGTATTCTAAAGAATAACATCCACCTAGCCACAGCTAGGTTACCTTCTCGATTATATATGATTTATATTACCAGAAAGCGTAATTAATATGTATTATTGTATCATGTAAAAAATATAATAAAAAAGTATATTATAGGCCTAAATACGTCATAGCTAACAATCCTAACATACATGGTGGCGGGTTGCATACAGTAGAAGTCAAGAAATCCGGACTGCTCTGAGATTGGGTCGGTGTTTTGTATTCTCTCTCTCTCTTTCGTTCTGGCTTTCTCGATCTTGATCTCTCCAGCTCGCCAGTTCATTCTCTCACTCCCCCTTCCCTCTCCCTCTCCCCTTCACAGGTCTACTGATAAAGGTTTATTAAGGAAATCTATGCTGAGGTACCCCCAAACCATTTTAAATGCATATTCATCACAAAACATAACTCCTCTTGTGAGATATTGCGCATGCGCTAACACACTAACGTAGCCAGATTGTGTACTGGCTGGTATACGCAGCCGGGACCTTACATGCAAGGTCTTCCTCCTATTTCGTAAATGTTATCTACAGATGGAATAATGTCATATAAATCTATGCTAGGATAACTCCTCTTTATTTTAAATGCATAATCTTTGCAAAATACGATTTCTCTCGGGAGATATTGCGCATGCGCGCGCACCTCGTTAGGCGTGCAGTGCCGTCTGAGGCAAACTTCAAAATATAGCTTGCTGCGGAGGAGAGGGGATCGGAGACTGAGGAAAGGCGGCAGGAAAGATAGCTGGGGGCGGTAGAAGAAGGAAGCTGAGCGAGGGACATGGGAGGCAAGGAGAATTTTTTTTAATTGGTGCATTTTGAGAGCATCTGAGCAGTAATTTTGATGTCTAGAATGCAAGATGGAATTCCACATTTTTAGCAGAAATTTTTTTTTAAATTTTGTTAGGGCATTTTGAAATTAAAGGGGGGTCCGGACCCTCAGGGCCGCAAAATTTTTTTTCCCACTTGAGTTCCGGACCCACCATAGATAGTGTTTTGTAATAAATGGTTCTTATATAAATGGTTGGATTATATTTAATGTTAGGGTTCGTGTACGTGTACGTGTTAGGGTTAGGGTTAGGGTTAGGGTTAGGGTTAGGGATATTGATAGGAGGTATTCAATTTACATTGTTGCTTCGAGGAAGTCGAGTGAATGGAGTGCGCTGATTGGCTGTGGTCCGGAACTCAAGTGGGGAAAAAAAATTTGCCCCCGGGCC